CCGCAGTAAATCTTCTTTTCGAGCTAATGGCATTTATTCTTCTCGGATATCAAATGAATAGGGATCACTCGTTTCATAATGGAACTATAAGGGATCACCTGATCGATAAATACAGAGGAAAATTTTATATATTTTCTTGCAAAGAAAAGGCGTATGAGCAATAATTCAAGTATATTGCGTATACGTTATTTCAAAGTGGGGCCCCAAAAAATTCACTTTAGTCCTCATTTTAAAACTAAAATCCACATTGAAATCTTATGTAAAAAATAGATATTTTACACATTTATTCTTCTCAGAAATCAAATGAATAGGAATCACTCATCTCTGATTCTTTATCATTGCAATGAAGCCCCCCCCGCCCTAATAACTACAACCTTGTTTATTATGCGCTACAGAGTCAGGGTTACCTAATTTTTCATTGATATTTTAGTATCAAGTACAAGAAATGAAAAAGAGCAGTTGTCGTGCACGGAACCACCCGCAACCGATTATTATCAAATTAAATAGACTTCATCATGGCAATCAAAAAAACCTTATTATAAATAAAATTCTAAAAATATCCTTTAATAGTTCCTAGTTTTTCAAATAACTTGACGACAGGCATAAACAAAACTACCGTAAAACACACACAGCGGCACACGTATATGTTTGGAAACGTAGGGTAGACGTAAATGAACCCACTCTCACAGAAAAAAAGAAACATACGTATCCATAACGTGACAACTGGTAATTAAATTAATAAATTGTATGTTCGTCTGTGTGTATGTGCGTTACAAAGTTTCACATCGTTTCGATTTCATGCATGTGTTCATCTGTCCGCTGTCTACTATCTTTTTGCCTTTAAAGTTCGTTCTTCAATGCTAGTTGTTAGTTGTCCCAGTCATAAAAAAGCCACACAAAAAAAAAAACAAAAAACGGAAAGCTTTAATTAAAGCTTTACTAAAAAATAATAATAAAAAATAGAAAAACAAATTATCAGTAAATTCAATAACTTAATTTCCTGAGAAAGACAAAAAAGGGAGAGTAAGCGAGAGAGAGACCTGCAAAGAATGCACTGACAAATTCTGTGACATGCCAGTAGGCAATCAAAACCGAAGAGCCCACACTATGCATCGGCAAAAGCTAAGCACATCAAGCAATGTTATTCGAGGTGTCATTACACAGTCGTTGCACGATTAAATTGTATACGACTGACCACCAAGCAGCAACGCGAGACGCTGTCGTCTTAATGCCATACACCACACACAATCATAACAAACCCAAAAGAAAAACAACAGCAATAGACCTCTGTTGTTTATTTTGTTCACCATTTGCGGTAGAAATGGTATTTTCCTGGGTTCATTTGTACTCGATTATGGGATCATCGCAGAGAGCATGGTGTGGCGGTGCAGGGGTGGGGATTATATACTCTCGCACACATTTTCTTTATTTACTGCCTTCTACTGACTTCATCTTCAAAACCTCCTCTCCAAAAACCAAAAGATAAATATTGTTTGTTTATAGTTTTGTGTAGCTCAAACAGTTTTTTGTTCCTCATAGATATAGCTTTTTTAAAGAATAAATAAATTCAAGGGAGAATTCTAATTTTAGACAATTTTGAGAAACGATTTTTTGGTTTGCCAAAAATTGCTTAAAACAAGTTTTACTTCTTTTTATTTTAAAACATGTTTAAATAACCTCAAAGTTGCAGATCAAAGCTAAACGTGCCATTTTTACTCTCTTTACAAATAGATACACCTATAATTTAAAATTAAGAGCACGAAAGCCCACACATATAAGAGAGGCCTGTGAAAAATTGGGTGGATTGCAAAGACAAAAATTTGAGAGGGGAATAAGCTCGTTTTTGGTTGAGCTAGCAGATAATAAAACAGTAGGGTCTCGCAATGAAGATTGCTGTTTATAGTTATATGCGTGGCCCAAGTGTAAGGTCCCCCTGCAAAGTCAGCTGACTACCAAATGCAATGTAAAAATGCCATATTGTGATTGAAATCACAGAACAAAAGATAAACAATATTCAAAAGAGTGTAAACAAATTTTGAAATTTCATCGGTTTTTTTCAAATTGCAGGAACACCTTGTCATTGCGCAAAGTTATATTTTTGTAGAGAATTACTGAGGGCAACAATGGCCATTCACAATTGTAGGTACTCCATATTTTTGGCGTCATAGTGTGGCGCAATAAATAGGTACTCCATTTACAACAGCACATTAACAAAAATAAGCAAACTCTAAACAAAAAAACGAAACCTTTTCAAAATAACTAGAAATAACACATACACTATGATTGAGCCGGACATAGATTGAAAATTTTCCGCTGGGAAGACTTCCATTCAAGACAGGTATTTCATTCTTCTTAGAAAACAAGTGAAGAGGGATCACTAGTTTGATAATGCAACTAAAAGGGGTCACTTGATCGGATATATATTTTTTTGTGAAGAAAAGGCAATATAAAAATACTTTCAGAAACAAAATTTCTTAACGGGTTTAAACTGATAATTGACGAATCACAATAAATCGGACTATATAAAACATACAAAAACTTTTGGATTCAATGCATCTGGTGACAAAATATATATTATTGTGATTGGAATTATTGAAAGATGAATAGATTTGTATCATTGATGTAAGCATATCATTCACAATAGTATATATTGACGGCTAGTCTTATGATATATCCTCCCTATCAAGAATTTCTGATTAGATTTTCATACAAATTATTATTCGGGAGGTTTATCGTGATAATCATCAATAAATTTGACTGGTTTAGGGTAAATTTATTGTTATACGTTAACTTGACGGTGAATCTCATAAAAACATGTATGTAAATACGCTATTAATTGAAATTTACATACATATCTATATGCGGGTTAATAGCGTTTTTATTAACCAAATCTTTATCAGGTTTGCCGTCAGATATGACCAATCACAATAAATTGAGTCAAGTCACAATAAATTTATTGCATTAACCACGAAACAGCTGATGCCATCACAAAAGATGACGAAGCATTCACAATAGAATTAACAATAGTTGCGCTTTTCGTATCGCTTGAATTAGAAGCTAACCAGTAAAGAAAGTCTAAAATTTGGGCGGGGCCGACTTGTGATACCCTACACACCTTGTCTTTTTAATTAAGCTTCATATAACAAATAAAAAATATAACAAATCGGATAAACAATAAATATGGGAGCTATAGCTATATCTGAATCGATTTTCACCAAATTTAACATACTTCTTTCTACGCTCAATTTGGTCGTAAGTGCCAAATTCCACTCGATTTGGGCTAATATAACACTTTTGGTGCACAATTAAAGGCAAATCAGACGAAGATACATATATGGGAGCTATCTACAAGTCTGAAGCGATCTCGATAAAATTTGGAAGAGGTATTTCTGTGCTCTAATTTATATATTTTCCCAAATATCGTTGTTACGGAGTTCATATTACGGATGCGGAGGAGAAAAACATCAAATCGGATAAACAATATATATGGGAGCTATAGCTATATTTGAACCGATTTCGATAAAATATGGCATACTTGTTTTCAGGCCTAATTTGGTTGTATGTGCAAAATTCCATACTATTCGGGCTGGTATTACACGTTTGGTGCACAATAAAAGGCAAATCGGACGAAGATATACATGGGAGCTATGTTAAAATTTTTAGCGATTTTCTCCATTTTCAATAGACATTGCCCTTAGATCAAACAAATAACTTGTCTAACATTTCATCCGGATCGTACAATAAATGCGACCTGTACTTTGTTTACAAAAATAAGTGGACAGACGGACGTACGGACATGTATAAATCGACTCAAAATGCGATTCTATACAGATCATCACATGGAACCATGGGTCTATCTCATTTCCCTTGGGGCTTCGTTTCCTTGTAGGGTATATAAAAAGGTTTAATATGACTTAAACATACAAATATTTTATTGAACAAATCACAATAGATTTAAAAAATATGTTTCCCACAGTCAAATAATTATGGCACAATAAACAATAAAATTTCACAATAGATGTTAATGAGCAAGAGACGTTATGATGTATTTATAAGTATAAATGTTTACTATCCTAAAAATTGAGTCCATCTGAAACAAGACCCATTAAACAAGTCTACCATTGTGATTGAAATATCCCCTATGCTGTCAAAATTGTTTTATGCGTCCTTCTACACTCCATTCACAATTACGTGCATTTTGACAACTCAGGGGAGATCAGCTTGTCTCATCGGATGACGTTGAGTTCGATTTAAAAAGTTTGGATTATATACAAAATTTTTACCAAGTACATATGTCTCTCGACAAAAAAAAATCATTATTTGTGTTGGCAAAAGGTCCCCAGCATTTTTTGCTATTATTGCTTTATTTCTAGTTTCTTGTTGTTATTTTAAATGTCTGGTAATACACAAAGTGACACATAATGGACACTTGAAAAGTATTCCAAGATAAACGTTTACATATCATAGACTTAAAGGAATTTTCACTTTGCCACAATCACACATCGACAACAAGAAACAAAAAAACTTGTATTCAATAATAATAAAGTAAAAAAAAGAAATATAAAAAAACGTATGCATGTTTAACATTTCTATGTAGGAAGGTAGGCAGGCAGGTAAGTAGTTGTTGGGCAAGAATATAAACCTGAAAAAGACGACCCACATATGTCTGGCGGAAGTTTGTCATTTGAAAATGAAATACTTTTGCAAGAAAAATACCCAACAAAAGAAAGGCAGCAGCACGTAGCACGTACATCCAACATCAACAGACACACACACACGCGCACACTCACCTGTAACTCCGTGCAGCAGCAAAGTCTACTTGCATTAAACATAAAGACTTTAGGCAGCTTCTTAGCTTATTGCCAGCCAATTGTTTTTGCTGCAGAGCAAGTGACGTGGTTGGTGAATTGTGTACTGTTGTTGTTGCATGCCATGCCATGCCACATCAAATAACTAATATCTATGCATATAGTAGTTAGGTATCTAGTTTCCAAACTTACCTTTGCTGATGAAGAAGTCCTTTGTTTTAAAGCCGATGTCGCCGAATTTGAATGACCACTAACAACGTTTTTGCTTATTATCGATGTACCTCCACCGCCGCCGCCACCACCGCCGGAGACAACAGCATTACCGCCACTGCTACCACCGCCACCACCACTCACATGATGATGATGGTGATGATGATTGGATGAAGACGAAGAACCACCACCGCCACTGCCGCCGCCGCCGGAGGAGTTCACAGCCGCCGCTGCTGCTGCTGATGAGCGAGAGCCACCATCCGTAACGGAATTTGTCGCTACACCACCAGCAACATGGCAATGATGCGACGACGATTGCGATGATTGTGATGGTGTAGATGGTGCATGATGTTGTTGTTGCTGGGCTGGTGGCGGCTGTTGTTGTTGTTGGTAAGAACTATTGTTTTGTGTCTGATTGGCATTGGCTAAAGATGTTGCAATGCTCGAAGTGCAAGTGGCCGTATTATTGGCTGGCGTTACATTATTGGCAACGGTCGATGAAGATGTAGTCGTCGAAGGCAGTACAATGGTATTTGCATTTGTGGAGTCATGATGAGTATCTTGTACCGATTGCACTGAACTATGCACACTGTGCTGCTGCTGCTGCTGCTGATGCGATTGTGAGGATTGTGGTTGGGCTGTTTGTTGTTGCGATGTCACGGCAGCAGCATTTGTCGTTGGGGTTGTTGTGCCATTCGTCGTCGTCGTGGTGGTACCGGCCGTGTTGCTGCCACCACCCGACGTTGCTGTTATTGTGGACGATGTCAGCAGCTTCGATGTTGCATTGCCCTCTGCTACGGCTGCACTATTATCGGCGGCGGGCAACGACTCAGGAACTGTTTGCAGTGTCGTGCGCATTGTTGTTGACATTATTTTTAATTCATTCGTAATTTTACCACAAATACTAGGGTTTCCTAATTGCTAAAACACGAAAAGGTAAACACAATGACAATGTTGTTGTTGTTGTTGTAGCTGTTGTTTTCGTTAATGCTCTTCTTCTGCGTCTTTGCCTGTTGCCTTTGGCAGGTGTCACCACGTCTTATTGGGTTTTGTGTGCGCGGGGGTGTGTGATGATTATTGGCGGGAGAATATCGAGAATCACCACCACAAAATTTGGTTACAGAAAATCTTTAAAAGTTTTGGTGTTCCACTTCCTTAAAGTTTTCCAGGCTATGATCCCACAAACGATCTGTTCTATAGGTGGTGTTGTTGCTGTAGATGATGATATTTTATTCCTCTTGTTGTTCGGCTAAACATTCCTTAAATGTAGGTTCCACATTAAGTAAAGAGGGGGGCACGTCGTCTTCGCTCGTTCATATGACGATCCTGCTGGTGTGTTGTGTTGCGTCAAGTTCGGTTCTACAGATGCAACTCTTGGAGAGGTGTGACAAGTCTGACTGCTGCTAAGTACGTATTTGTTGCTCTGCTCCCATTAGACATTCATAGTGGTAGTCCAATAATTTCCATTTCATTAAGATTTCATATGGGCGTACGAAGAAAGATTTTATTTTTGGCTGGCTTTGTAAGAGAGTTTTTATTTCCAAAAAAATATATATGTAAATATGTTGGTATCAAATCAAAAAAACAATTTGAAGGTGTCTGTCTGAAAGTAGAGAGAGAGAGAGAGGAGGAAAATGAGGGATTAGATATTTTGCAAACAATTTAAATATATTTTTGTATAAAACATCAGTCATATATTGTATCGTTGTCCTTACACACACACATACGGCATGTAAATTTTGAAAATATTGTATCCGGATCACTGTGCAGGGCTCCTCATTCCATTGGCTGCTCATGGAGAGCAACACGCAAGGTTTTTTCTCTAAATTCATAATATATTAGAATGCATGAATGAATGGGAAAAGTTTATAAAATAATGGACCCCATTTGAAATATAAATACATAAGTATTGGCTCTTAGATTCTAGCACGTTCAGGAACAGAGCTCATGTTTATGTCTTCTGTATTAGTAACGTAAAGTAATTCACAATGAAAAGTACAAGAGAGTCTTAAACCACAAGAGAGTCTAATAATTGACCAATGACAGTTAATGACGCTTTAATATGGTGTTACACCAACCAACATTTTGTTTATTGTCTCTTTATATTTCGTACTGTGATTTCAATAACAATAATTGTTTCGACAGAACATATTTAGTGTGTCATGGAATTAGTATATGAACGCACACAATTATTGAAGCATGGCAGAGAGAGAGAAAAAGAATGAGTAAGAGAAAGTAGGATTGAAAAAGGGACAAACGTCAAAGGAATTACAATGTCTAACTGTGACTTCTGAAGGCCTAAAAGATTTCCCAGAAAGAAAAAACAGTACAAAATTTTTATTCACAATAGATAATTGTGGCATCAGCTGCATGTTTTATGACAGGGGAAGAAATGGGAATACAAATTAAGAAGACAAAGAAAAATGTTAATTTTTTATTAGCCCTTCTCATCCCATTTCTCAAGTGACAAGAGGAAAATTTCCTACACGGAAATTTGTACTGTAAAAAATATTAAAGATAAGCATTGTAATAGTAAATTTAATATCATTCACAATAGAGGTAATTAGTAAGAAGGCAAACGATATATAAATCAAAGATTTAAAGGATGTCGATTTGTTACAAAAAATGAATTCACAATAGATAAATAGAGTAAACTTCCGAACCAAATTCTGTGAATGCCAGAGAGATAGGGGTAAAAATGTAGAAGAAATGGAAACCAGCGGAACGTTCATATTGGACACATTCACAATGGAGAAAACGAGATATGTTAAAAATCATAATTATTGAATAATGGAGAGACGAATGATAAAAAAGGAACATAAAAAATGAAATTGCAATCTCTGTTTGTAACAAAAATAATATCATTCACAATAGACAATAGAGCAAACATTAGCCGCAAAATTCCATGAATGATAGACAGAAAGCTGGGATAAAAATGGAAAAGATAAAGAAAATGTTTATTTTTATTTGCCTATGTGACAAAAATAATGACATTTACAATAGATAAACGAGTAAAAATCAGACGCAAATTCTATGAATGGTAGATAAAAATTGGGAAGATGATGAACAGTTTTTTTATTCGACCCTCTCACCTAGAACTCAACTTCTAAAGTTACCTACGAAAGTAAAATTTGTTATTGTACTGAATTTGACATGTTCGGGAGATTTAAGTTGTCCATTACCACTACAAGGGGGTCATAGGAATACGTGAACCTACATTGACGAAGTTCTGCCACAGGAGTTAGAACTCATATTGAACTTTAAATACGAAATTTTAAACAATTCCACAAGAAAATGTTAAAATTGTTAAGACACCGAATATCATAAATTTGACTAGCGCGTTTCCCCTTCTTGGGCACAGGTAAGTAGTTTCCTATTAAAGCATGGTAGAAAATAGAAGCTGAGCCATTCGCAAGAACTTCAAAATGAGATCTATATATCAAATATCATTAAAACTGATACTTCCCCAGGCAAATGACCTTAAATCTAGCTTTCTTGGTAATAAAAACACAAATGATATGACTTAATCATGAATATCTTATATTAAAATTCCTTACATGTACAAAAAAAATCCTTTACAAAACAACCTGTCGCTTGATTTTATTAATAATATAATCATTGATAAACAAAGCAAAATTTTGCCCTGACATATTATCCAACTTGGCCTTAAAGCCATGCTGCTGGAGTACCATCAATTCCCGGCATATCTCTTCGGGAATATAGTTTCGCCTCATTACGGAGTTAATTTTCCGATAATCCATTTCGGATAATATCTCCTGGGGTATTTGTAGATTATACGTAATATCCGATGGATGTATACCCAACCATTTAAGTTGTGGTGTGGCCAGCTGGTGAGCATACTGACTATATTTTTTCGAACCAAAACGATATGTAAGCATGATTTCAATGCCATAGGGATCGGCATCGGCTAACATATAAATTGGAAGATTATGTTCATTGACAAGTTTGCTTAAGAGCCAACGTGTGGATAAGTCGGGATTGCCACGGGCTGTCAGCAGTATTAGTTTGCCTTGCATTATGGAGAAAATATTATTGGCAATTAGTTTCTTGAAAATTGTATCCTTTTCCACGACCAAAACCAAGTGGGCCGTTGTCTCGAAATGATCAATGTGTGTGAATTGAGGTGGAATCATTGTGGGTGTGTTAGTTTTGTTACATTCTATAATATCACCATTGTTCATGTGAATAAATAATGGGCCTATGGGAAAAACATGCAAAGGATTTATATGTAATCATATTACTAATTTAATGATTTATCCATCCTGTTTACCTGCAATCATACCCTTGCCTGTACCAAAAACCCCCATATTCCATGGCGTTTGCCCCAGCACTGAAGCAACATCTTCCACGGCCTTGTTGATTTGCCACACATTACATGGCAAGTAAATATTTCTATAGTACAGCTCACGATATGTGCAACTGCTGTGTCTCAACAAGAGGTCATGTATTTCGGCCATAACATAAAGTAATATTGCCATGCGTTTGCGATTGCTTCGGTTGCCATAAACTAACCTCTCCATCACAGATGTTGATGGCGCCGCCGCCTGTCGACCCTCCACCATTGTGAAAACATCTGTGTTGAAATTGCTTAAACATATGTTGTCACCAGTGGCTCCCAAGAGATTTACAATACCGCTACCAACAGCAGCAGCACCTGTCATCGTCAACATGTCATTTCTTGTTATATAAATTTCCATATTAGGACCCCATAATATTAGGTCTCTCAACCAAGAGTTGATTAACACTTCAATGTTATTAATCATTATAGGAGTACGTACGTACTTATCTACCACGCACTTAGAGTAAATATTCTGATGACGATGGGTCTGATGATGATGATGACTTTAGGACGAATGACGCGATAATGTTGACAATGAAAAAATAACGTATAAAAGAAGGAAAGTTAAACAATAATCTCCAAGGTATTCTTAAATAGTACCGTTTTTTTCTTATTTGTTTTTGCCTTCACACACATTGCCACATACGCTTCAGCATGTCAAGTCTTGCAAGCAGGCAATGCACTTTGCTTGTGTCAAAACACACGTACACACATCACTCCACCCATTGCCACATTTGACCAAGCCAACAGGCAAGCAAGCTACCAACGTATAAACAAACATCCCGGCAAGTTTTGCCAAGGAAGATTAATGACTTTTGTAGGGATTCACCACCAGCCCCGGCTGCCAGCCAGCATTGCAAAGCTCTATGTGAAAAGTAAATAAAGAAGCAGACTGTCAACGGATATGTAATCTTTGTCATCATCATTGTCAGCTAATGAAGCTTTCTTTATTACCTCTCTCTCTTTAATGATTTGACTTTAAATGTTTTAATTCATCATTTCTTTTTTTCTTTAATTCAAAAGGAAGAGGAAAAGAGATCTGCAACAAAAACAGGTGTTTAGTATGCGTAACGGTGACGACCATTCACAATAACAACGTAGAGTAAGGTAGCGAGCTTACTTGACGGCGTTGCTCACACGATATGTAATGTGAAGGTAGCGGCATTTGGCAATAAATCGCCGGCTTTGACTTTAATGCATACCAATGGAGCAATAACTCAATCGTATTTAAAAAAGAGAATATGAATAAAGGATTGACATGGATTTAATATTGTACAGGAGAAGAAAAGAAATGTGCAAATAACAGGTAGGATAACGGTAATGACAATTCGCAATGAAAAATCAGAGTAAAGGGACAAGTTTATTTGACGCCGTTGCTTAGCCGTTATGTTATGTGGCAACAGCGTCATTTTGGAAAATATCACCGGCATTGATTTTTAGGCAATTTAATTGAAGTTATTCGTTTAATTCGGCAGGGGAGAGTAAAACTAGCAACTTGGAACGAAAGGACAGATTATAGCTGATTTAAAAAAAAAAAAAAAAAATACAAAAATATTGAAAATCAAAAAAGAAGAGAAGAAAAGAATTCAGCTAGTCGCATCGACACAGCTGCTGGGACAATGAACTGTCAAACTAATTTTGGAATTGTAAATTTGGGACAATGAACTGTCAAACTAATTTTGGAATTGTAAATTTTGAAGGAAAAATTTTGAAATCTGTAAAAATTGTTGAAAAATTCATGTCATAACAACCTCCGATTGGCTTCGTATAAGAAAACATATAAAAATCTACATATTTTTGAAAAAAAATTAAAGAAAAAATTGACATATCAATGTTCCCAAGTATTGATGCATCTACCTGTATGCTTCTACCATGGATTTCAATCACAATTAGTGTTTTGACAACTCGTCTAGATGATCAGCTGGGGTAATTGCCAATATTACAAAGTGATCTTTTAAATATGGAAAATCAGACTTATATGTCAAACTTTATTTACTACGTATTTGCTATTTGTTTATTTTTTGTACTGCCCGAATACAGTAAACCATATTGACATTACATTTGTATGGTCTTGATGGGGGTGCTTTTTTGCTTAACAATTGCTATTGTGAATAGTAGCTGTTCTTATACTATGTTCACACAATTAAAATTGCTTATCAAAATCTTCCCCAAAATAGATTTCCTATTTTTCAATTGTTTTTGAAGTCTAATAAAATAACCATTCACAATAGCACAAATTAATACTAAATCATTTGATACTCTGCAAATAGGGGTGCAAGTACATAAAAAGCTTAAAGTCATGGCTGGGCATATTAATGTCAAATTATAATGAAAAACTACGGTAGGATTTTAGTGCAGCTCTGTAATCCGGTTATGAAATGTCACAAAATATGTCTAGCCATGACTTAAAGCTTCTTATGTACTTACACCTTTTTTGCAGAGTATCCTCAACTGGGAAAGTATGCTCTGCTGCTTAAAACAACAAATCACAATAGAAGAATTAATATTACTTTCTTCATCTGCTCATGCCCATATTATGAATATCTTTTAACCCGTTTAAATGGTGGTGGGAGAAAGAGAAAATTGTTTCAAAATCAACATTCATTTCCTTTGTTAAAAAAATACAAAAAATACCCTCCACCACCTCATAACAAAGAGCAGCAAAGAAAACAATTAGAAAGAAACTGTATCTTGGTTGGCGTCATTAGTTTCTTCTTTTCTTCTTGCACACATGCCATGACGGTCGGTCGGTCTTTGCCCTTGTCTTAAAGAAATCACGAAAAAAACGAAAATTTAGTTATTGTTTTGTGCATAGAAAAAAAAAAACAAAAATTGCAAACATTTATTTATAGATATGGATATGTGTATTAGAAATGCGCTGACGTTTCACATTATATGGAAAACAGCAAAAAAAAAAAACTACGTCATATCTTATGTTGCTGTTGTGGTTGGTTTTCATTTCGCATTTGCTTTACAAAGCAGGAAACTAAATCAATTGTTTTATCATAATGACCACATTGGTATACGATTGATGGGTTATTGGTCGCTAAACACAATGTCATTGAGGCTTATTGTTATTACGGCGATGATTGTGGGCCAGCTGACAACAGAAGCTGTTGGTGGAAGATAAGGCGGCCACAAAAAACAATACCAGTCAGTCAATCAACCTGCTAGCCAAGCCCAGCCAAGTCAAGACAGCTAATCAGTCAGTTGAATAAAGAGTATATCTCCCTTATTATTTTTATGGTATTTTGATAATTTAGCTAGTCCCAACATTAGCTAATTGTGCAATCAACGTGTACTGGGTTAAAAAAAAACCATAGAAATCTAGCAAATGAATGTGAGTTGATTTATTTTTATCATTTCATTTATCTAACAAAGATAATCAAGGGAGAAACGAACCGGCAGGTATGATAGCGATTTTTTTTTCTGAAGAGACCAAAAAAAATGAGGTTTTATTTAAATGCGTTTGTCTTTGAAGGAATATTCTTATCATTTTTAATAGTTTTATTTATTTTGTTAGACACACAATAAATAAGGAAGAACGCCAAGCAAATATGTCAGTTTAGTTTTCAAATGCATAGCCATTCGGAAAAGAAGACATTCAACACTGAGAAGAAAAAAGTGACAAAGAAAACGATAATCGTTTTCATCAAATTTCCAAAGGCTGTTCATGTAACCTTGAAAAAAAAGATCTATATAAATATGATATATGAATTGCTGTTTCAATTTCATCTCTTTGCGGTTTTGTAATAGAATGATTAATATCAAGACTGTAGTTTAAAATAGAAAACTACACTGTTTACTTAGAATCGCTACGAAGATAATCTCAAAGTTTGAATTGGCTCAGAGATAACTTGGTTTTTACGTTTTTTTATTTGTTTCCAAATCAACAGGGTTGCCATTAAATGGTAAACCAATTTCTCAAAATATTATGAATTTCCAAATGAGGATCTAAACGTGCCATAAAATTATTTTCTCTTTTATGACAATCAGCTGATTATTATCGTGCGTCAATGGTAGAATTAAAAAGGTAACTTCGGACTTACAATTTTCCAAAATTGGCCTTTGTATCAGAATCTAATTGTCAAAATGTATAATTCATAATCAAATCAATAAATCAGAGACAAATTTGACAAGGTGAATTACAGAAAATGCAGACCTTGATATTATTACAGGGTGAGAGGAAAAAACTGCAACCAACGTCAGACTGCTGTCATTTCTAAGCCACTCGTCTATTGTGAATGAGTTCCTCAGAGAAGTTTAAATATAAAAAAGAATGCCTTAACTTTATTGTAATTCACATAATATTGATGTGTAAACGTGTTACAATTTTCTATTTGTACCATGGTAGAAGAATATAGGGAGACGCGTCGACACAGCTGCTAAGACAATGAACTGTCAAACCAATTTTGGAATTGAAAATGTTGAATCAAAAATTATTTAAATTTGTAAAAATTGTTGAAAAACGCGAATTTTAGTAGTCTCCGAATGACGTAGTATAGGAAAACATATAAAAATCTACTTATATTTGAAAAAACATTTAAATTTTTTTGACGTATCAATGCTCCCAAGCGTTGATGCATCTACCTGTATCCTTCTCCCATGATTTGTATGCTCTGCGATCGCGATTTACCGTTCATACCCACAAAAAAATTAAAATTTGCAAATACTTCTCTTTACTGAAATTCCATACCTGTTAAGAATAATGTAATACCAAGTAGGAACCTGGTTTAAGATTGTGACAACGACTAATCAGCTGATTGCTTGATTACGGTTACTTTACAATACATGTTGCACTAATGACTTCCGCCTATTGTGAATGATTTGCATAAATTCTTTGCAATGTTCAAAAGAAACTTTTGCAAAATTTACAAATTAAAATAAACAGAGAAGTTTAAGTGCCGAAAAACGTTTCATATTTTTATCTTTCGTTATAACACGAGGTCACTAAATGTCACCTCTTTTGTTCTACCCTCGTTCTCATTGTGGAGTTGGAAAACTAACCTTCACACAACCAAGTGCAGAGGAGTATTTGCAGATCATGCAAGCCATTGTATGTAAAAGAAAAATAAATCGACAGTATTGCAACATTTTTTCCCAGCTTTAAATATAACCACCAACATTTCAAGGTCTACAAGAAATGTGACAACAACAACAGCATTTTGTACCCCGCAAAAAAGCAGAGTTTGACCTGCTGGCTGTTACAGCTACTGTTGGTTGGTTGCTTGCTTGATTTTTCATTAACCATTACAAAGGGGTCTTTAAATGGTTGGTTGGCTGGCGCATGATCTTTCTTCCGGTCTCAGTACTACTTTTTTCGGTTAGCAAAGCAAAAAGATGGCAAGACGCACAACAACAACAACAGAAACGACAACGGCTACGGTAATGTTACGGTGGTTATTGTCCTATCACAACGACGATGACAACAATAACGAAAACACCATTAAAGGTAGTCGGTAGTGTGTGTTGTTTGCAGAGTATACTACTTAATGGATGGAAAGATGGATGGTTGGCTGGTTGGCTAGATGTATGTAGTGGTTACCGCTGCCTTAAGCTACTACAGACAATTAACCATATTCATTTGCAAGCTATTTTTGTTTCTTTCTTCTACTTCTAATTGACATCTTTTGCTTCGTCTTCTTCCTCCTTTATGGTGAAAATTTCAATTCATCCAAAAAAGAAAAAGATAAAAACAACAAAATCATAAGAAATAGAGTAGCTGCTGTGGCTCGTTGTTATTTTTAACAAAAAAAAAAAAAAAAAAAAAACGACAACTTACTGTTGAATGACCCAAATTAAGAAACATTCACATATTATTTTCATTTAGAGCAGGTCGGGTAAAAACTGACGACTGCGGTGGTGGGAGGTGGAGAAGGCAGAGACAGTTTGGCAGCAGCGGAGAGACCAGACCACTGGCGAACCCAAAATTTTATTTTGAGGGAGAGAGTAAATGATTTGCCTTGTCATACAGCAAGATACGAGATGGAGCGAACGAGCGAGCCCACAGAGACAAATAACAAAAAAAAACAGATTGTTTCAAGTTTTCATTATTTCGTACTTACGGCGGCGGCGAAAAGAGAGTGTACAAAAAAACAAAAACCGAAAAAGAAAATTAATTTTATACTTTTTTTTTTTTTTTGATTTGTACAAGATCAGTTTGTTTAACTTTGTTAACTGGTATGGTGGATATTGTTTTTTCTTGTTCAGTACAATAATAATTATAATTTCTTCTTTCTTTTCTTCTTCTTCTTCGTTTAGGTCGGTTGGTTAGATGGCTGGTTGGCTGGCTCTCGTTGATTGTATACACACAACACCATACACAAACATTCACACACACTCACTCTCACACATCTATAGATTTTATAACGTCAACGACGACGACGACCGACCGTCCGACCGACGAATAAATGCTTGAGAAAATGAAACGTAATAATTTTTCATCTACCTTTAGTTAGTTACTGCACACAAAGCCAATTTCAAATAGAAATCAACTTTTGGCCATTAACACTTGTAAACTTGGCCAACACCACACTCGTTTTAATTCGTATTTAGTTCTTAACAATTTTCTCAATAGATTTTCTTTCACAAAATTCACCACCTTAAGAGGAGCAACGAACGAGCTACGCTCGTTTTGTTCGTTCATGTATTGGTCCTATCCTATTGGCCATTTTGATGATTCAAGTTTTTTTTTTTTTGCTTTTTTTGGATTTTCGTTCAATTGCTTCTTTTCTCAATCTGTTTTTTTAGCACACAAAGTGGTTTTGTTTTTTCTTCCCCACGGAGGGAGGAGGGGGAATATGTTTGTACTTCTTTTTTTATTTGTTTGACGTAAACCGTCGTGTATGACAACGAGGAAAAGCAAATTGCTTTGCTTACTTGTTTTTTTTATATTTTTGTTATAAAAGATGAAAAGAAAAAAAAATAAATACACCAGAGATGATGATGGAGAGGAAAATATGTATATGCTTATATATAGCTATATACTCTTGTATATGTGCATACATATGAAATTATGCACATATATCTCTATATAGAGGAGTATATATACATATTTGTGTCTAAGAGTAGCAGCAGCAGCAGGCACAATTCGACAGAGCAGCAGCACAATGATCCAGAGCTGGCAATAGCTATTTTTTCACAATTGTATTGGTGTGCAGAGAAAAACCTTGGCTGTATGTGTGTTGGTGTGTAGTTGTGTCGGGGTTCTGGCAAACTTTTCTTTTTTCGTTTCGTTTTTTTTTTTCTTGCATTTTTTCTCTCTCATAAGAGTTGAATTTTTATCATTTCACTTTATTGCATTTGCATCGTTTTGTTATTGAAACGTTTTCTTGTCATCACTGCACTTACATAAAAGCCTTAGCGTTAAGCAAAATCTTAATAAAATTGTATTATTTGTTCACTTTTAATCATTGACTTTTCCGTACACACACTGAAATTCTCCAACTTCACAGTAAATTCATGTCCGCCATATTTGATTTGGCAATGGGTGTTGCCACTCTTGCAAATAATTTTGTGTGTGGTAGTTTATGCAACTCTGTTGGCTGGCAAACAGGGTTGAAATCTTCTGCGGGCATACGGGAATGATAACATGGGGTAACTGCAAATATCCGTGGAATGATAACATTGCTACAGTATGTATTTGATTATTTAAACATTTATTAAACTAAAGACGAATATATGTATAGACGAAGAAATTATCTCGTTGAGTATAGGTATGTTTAAACTACACCTTTTTCGTCGGACTAACATTCTTTATAAAGATTTATTTGAGTCATATGCAATAAAACTGACATATTAAATAGACTGGGTTTTCTAAATTCATTACAACCATGATTACAACGTTATTTAGATCTCAAATGTCAATTTCATATCCACTGTATTAATAAATACGATTTAGGTGGCTAAACGTGATCTAAGCCGAGCGCGGAGTTCATTAGTACAGAGTTGCATTTTTCCCAATTTCACGAATTCAACTACAATTCTGCTTTAATTCGACACCCGAAATAGCCTCTTAATGAAAATTTGAAATATACAATACCAATAAAAATCTATTTGACCCAATGAGACTCCAGGGCCTCAATTCTTGTTCTATGGAAATGTGAAATTAAATTTTGTTTAAAGGAAAGACATGTCAAATGAAAGATTGTATAAAGGAAATATTTTTCGTTTCATATTTTCATAGAACAAGAATCCAGCCCCAGTACAAAGCATGGCTCAATAAGAAAGGTTGCTCAACTTCAAAGAAACAAGCAAAATACAACTCTGTGCCGAAGTCTTATAGTGCCAAATAGGCTTTTAAACATGCAACATGAATGGAATATTGGGGTTTACCACAAAATTGAATCCAAGATAGAGAGACAATATTGTGTCATCCTAAAATTACACATTTTGAAATGATTTCAAATTATATTCCTTTTTATCAGAACAATACACGCACATATAAAAAATCTGTATGTGATTTGACAGAATAGAGGCACCAAAGAAAAAAATGTATTTAGGAGTAGGCTTTGTTCTACCTTTAAAATTGTAAATTGGCCATGGAATGAATGATCCACAGACTTTAGTCGAGATTCCAAAAATTTCTGTAATATTCATATATATATATTCTTTTTAAAATTTTGCATTTGCCATTTTTTTCCTTTACAAAAATTTTAATTTCACATTTTCTTAGCTCAAGATTTGTGTTATATTCTATAGATTTAGCATTTTTAGAATTAGAGGGTGTGTATTTGAAAAAATTGGGGGTTTCAGAAGGCGTCAATTCTAATTTTTTTCTAGTTCAGGAGATAACTGCCAAACCAAAAAAGTAAGACGGTATGGTAGAGCTAACAGCTGATTATGATTTTTTTTGAGTGTGCATTTAGCCATTTTTTTATGTTAATCCAGGCATTTAGTTCATACTTCGTGCTTTTTAATACACTTTAAAAATGAGGAAATATATTAAATTAACGAGAACAACTTATTGCTTTTAAGTTTGTATTTCAGTAGTTTTACGAACCTGCATTACCGCACTATTGTACCGTGGATGAAGGGCAAATATTGTATATAAGATATATTAAATATGGAAGACCTGAAGATACCTTAGAAGAGACGGATGGGCAATAATCAACGATTTTTAAATAACATTTTTGTGGGAGTTACTATTGCCATAATCGGGGGTTCGTTATTGCTAATATTTGTGAAGGGTCTATCAGAGACATAGCGTGATTTTTCCAATTGTGTACTTTTGAAGGAATACTTCCAGGATCCTATCTGCGCCATTTCTGCGCAGTCTGTAGTGATGGGGTTTTAATGGACTTTTTTAAAGGACAATCAAAGCAATAATCTTGGATTTTATAATGATTATTATTTAAGGACACTTATGCGCCATAATCGCACCACAAGAAACAGACCAATTATTAGCTGAATCCTACGCCGTATATAGCAGAAAACTATTTTCCTGACTTTGTATCATATTTTTTTTTTTAAATCTGAATGTATTATAGTACGTTTATATATATGAGGGTTAACCCACTGGATTTGGATTTAAATTGTCATATCCATTCCTTTTACTTCAAATAAATCCTCTCAAAGAAGGTTAACCCTACAAAAAGTTCTAACGTAAACATGGCATTAAGCGTATATTTCATCATGTCAAAATTTGTCGTTTCATCTATTTGTTATTATTTTCCCCTGGCTAATAAAAACGAAAGGAACAAAGCTATTAATTCCATTAAAACGTCACAATCCCTGTATGTTAAATGCCGTTGCTGAAACACTCAACGCCGTCTTCTTCTTTGAGTTCGGCATCGATCTCCGTACACGTTGAAAGCGGTCTGTTTACATTTTTCGACATCAATTGGAAAAATTTTGATAAAAACAAAAAATAAACCTATCTAATGTCACGGAAAATACCCGACAGGTAGGCCAATCAAACTATGACCTTAGGAGCGTCTGTTCAAATGAAAATACGCGTATTATTGTTGAATTGTGTCAAGCGGATTTCTCTCCCAGAGAATATAATGTTTTTAGTGATGTTGAAGTTAAAAGTAGTCGTTGAATGATCAAAACCGGGTTTTGTGACTTTTAGCTGTTATAAAAACACTAAATGGAAATTATTTTTCTTTATATATTTTATAATAACATATTTATATTTCTTTCCCCCTAGATGGCTGGACTATACAGCGGTTGGTGATCGCATTGAGGGTACGAGATTTATTGCCTTTAAAGTCCCCCTGAAACCGGTAAGATTTTAAAATAAGTGGATATTTATGTATTTTATGAATATTTGTTAACATGTCATCATTTTAATTTTACAGCAACTTACTGATGCAGACAATCGTTTCGATGGAAAAATTCTATTGGAAAAAGTACCCAATTTGGGTATAATTATTGATCTAACCAATACCAATCGTTATTATGATCCAAGAGTAAGTTTCACTTTTTTTTGAAATTTTACAATTTATATTTATTTTAATTTGCGCCTTGTTTTTCTTACTTAAGCAGTGCTTTGAGAATGAGGGCGTTAGACACCAAAAGTTAATGATTCCCGGTCATGTTACTCCACCGCAAAGACTAGTTGATAAGTATGTTTTACCTAGATGAATGTTTTAAAGATTATTTCGTAACTGTTATCCATTTTCCATTTGCTTTTAGATTTAAAGAATATGTAAAGGAGTTTTTACAAAATAATCCAGATAATGGTATGTATTGTTCCCCATATTTGGGGTTGGAGTAAATGCTATTGGGTATATCTCTTTGATTTTTTGTCAATTTCAGAAAGGAAATATGGTTCCGTTGGACAAACCGTTTAGGAGACATTACTATGTTTTATTTTAGGGACTCTGCTCGTTTTGTTTTTAAACTTTTGCCACATGCAGTCTATGTCCTCAGATTCACATAACTAGTTTGTGTAGGAAGTCGACAAATGTGCATTTGAAACTTACAAATCCATTTGAAGTTTTAGAGATTTTGTTGACTGAAATAAATGCTGCACCCTGTAGAGGCTATTGTCTGATTTACATTGACAATTAAATAAAGAGTTTACGATGATTTATATTCCATTGTTGGTCCTATCTGCTTATCAACAAATTAAAATGAAAATATCCTACCTATCACCAACAACTCCCCTAGGATGAACACCATGTAGCTGTAGAAGGCATCTTTATACTATCCGAAGATATTCATATTTATTTAAGGCCCCCAATAGCTTAAAATTGAATGATTGGAAGCGCTTTTGCGAATTTTCCTATTGAAAACCTGTTTGAAATCTAAGAGAAATTGTTCTTGTTGGACTCCATTGTTTCTGAGACGTAAGAAAAGAAGGCCTTATCGGAGGTAATTAATAAATATACTATTGAGGACTTTTATAACTATTTACAAAGTCATTCCGCTTTTTTAAATATTTTTCAGGCGGAAGTAGTAAACGCTCTTGAGGACTTCAACAATTTGTAGAGAATAGCTTTGGTTAGCCTTTAAAGAGTCATGTTTTGTAAACGTTAGGATGTACTTCTAATATGCCAAAAGACTTCTAAAATGTCAAAGGACTATCTTATAATAATTAATTAAGAACTCTACGGGAAGGTCTTCTGATTGCCTTTAAAATATCAGCTATTGTAGTGCTTTTGTATTCCTTATAGACATTCTGAGATTCTTTGTAGGCATTTTAAAAACGTTACAGAAAGAATTTAGCTGGTCTCAAAAACAATGTTTTTTAGCAAACTTTAGAAAGGTGAGAAGATCCGTTTAGAGTAGCCCTTGAAACTCAAAGTTTTTTTTGTTGGAAACATATCAAAGAGAGTCCTATGTATGGCTCATAGAAATTCGGGATTTGTAGTTTCTTAGAAACTCGTGGAAAAGCCCTTTTGATGGCCTATAAAAATGGAAATTTTGTAGGGCTTCAGAACTCGCGCAGAAAGTCATCTAGTAGCCTCTAAAAAATTCACGTTTTGGGGAGCTTCGGAAATTTTTGAAAATTCCTTTGGAAAATCGTAAAGAAAGCTGACTTTTTGGAAAATTATAAGACAGGCTTCGGCTTAAATTGGGTTTAGCTCCAGCTGGCGGAATATTCTGAAATTTTTACCGAAGGTAGGTCTTGTAAACCAATTTTTTTTTGGGGGGAAATCAATTCTTTTCGAAATCCAAAGTTCTAAAATACCCCTTTTTTACATTGCTATCAAAATGACACCAAATTTATGTCGCCGTGATTAGCATAACAAGACCTACATTCGGTCAAATTTCCGAATTTTCCGCCAGCTGGAGCTAAAATAAATTTATTCCCAAGCTTCCAATAACCTGATAGTCTCCCCATAACCCTAATGATCCTGTGTGTAGAACATCAAGAAATTCTCTGGTAGGCTCCCTGTTATCCCTTGCCTTATTTAAAAATTATACTGTTAGGTCTCCTTTTACCCACGATATGTAGGTGTTTGAAAACATTTTCTGATAGCCTCCTTTTAACCTTACGGACCTTGTTTATAGATCATTAAGAAATTCCCTGGTAGGCCTCCTGTTTTCCCTTAAAAAAACACATGTAGAAATGTTCTAGTAGGTCTTCTGTTACCCCCTAAAATTCCCACGTTTTGTTGAGCTCTACAAATGTTTGAGTCTCCTGATGACCTTTAAACTCCATGTCTTGTAGGCCTTACCCAAAAAATATAGGTCTTCCAGCATTCAATAATTTATTTGAGGTAACCTTCCTTAGTCTTTGAGTATATCTTATTTGTATAGATTAGTTTGACATGACCTCACAGAATAACACATTGTTATGTTCCTAACATCCATAAAAATTCCTCACAAAAGATGCATTTGTTTCTGCAGAAACGCCATAAAACCCGAAATGGGTTAATGACGCCCATAGAAAAAGAAGGCAAACAAATGTTAAATTTGTTCAAAAAAAATTTTTTTTTGAAGTAAAGACACAAACAAAACTCTGAACAAATAATACTTCAGTTTATTTTTACAAGTTAAAACTAATAGCAACAAATCAGACATGTCGTCGGTGGTCTTGTCATCTATGTTACAGTACACACATTTCTGAGATGAGCTAAGAATGTATGCCAAGAATGGTGGGGTCCATATCCGAGCGGAGCCAATGGCAAAGCAAGGGAAGGATGTAAAGCCTGTGCTGCTGCCTTAAATGTAAATCAGTAACATTGCTGGAGGCAAATGTTTTACTGCTACCAACCACCATCACCAATCTACCAGGCATAACCTCCTAGTAGTCACCAGCATCATCTTTGTTTTTTGTGTGTGTTTTGTTGCATTGCATAGCTGCTTACTGGCTCTCATATCATTGAGTCAACCAGTGCACAGCAAGTGTAGCATTTTTGTTTACAGCCGCACATCTTGCAAACTGGCGTTGCTTTCTTTCTTCTCTGGCCAAATTATGCTGCTGACATGTTTTGTACAATTTATGACCAATGTTTTTTTTTGCTCTTTCTTCTTTTGCCTCTCCTTGTCTTGAAGTTTTCTTTGTTTCGGTGTGAAGAATATAAAAAACGCGGGCGTACATACCAAACCTATCATTGTAAAGTTAGTTTTTGTTATTGTTGTTGTCTGAAATTCGTTTAACTTCATCGTCATTGGCATGGTCTACTGGGGGTCAGGTTGGCTGGTTGGTTGGTTGGCTGGTGTGTCAGAATAGAAAAGAAATCCAAACTATGTGCAATGACTTGGCGTTTTCTTTTGATTTACTTGGCAATGATTGTTGGTTGCCGTTTACTACCAGGTTTATGCCGGTGTTGTTGTTGTTATTTCCATTCCAAGGAACGATGGCACTTCGTTGTGGAGTGTGGGTGTTGACATACATACGTACATATATAAGATGCTGGGCTGCATTTATTGCCATGTGATACACATGAGGAATGGCATTATGCCGGGTAAATTTCATTTTGCTTGGGCCAGTGGTTGGCCGGTCTTTTTTTTTATTCTTGAAATGTTTTGTGGGCCATGCAAACGTCTATTGCAATAATCTTTGATTGTGGTATGGGCTATGGGTTGTTGCTTGGTTTGTTTGTTAAATAAAAAAATGTTGTGATTTGTTTGATCTTGAATTGATTGGATCATAATTGTGTTAATCGCGTAAAACGGGTGGGAGTTTTGAGAGTTGACGCCATTACGCCAGTAATTGGATGGATAATCAATCAATCAATCAATCATCACATTGATGTGAGGTGTAATAGCTGGTTATATTTCCAAAAAGTGAAATCCGCAAAGCAAGTTTTTTTGGTAATGAAGCAATTTGGGATATCTTGGTGCCTGAAGCCCCTTCAAATAAAGACACGTTTTGGCTTTTAAAACGCCTTTGCTTAGGAGGTTTTACTTTGAGGAATCCTAGAAAGGGACAGCCTTTCAAAAATATAAGGATGTCTTTAAAAATAGGTCTTTATATGGCTTTTAAATATATGTTTTGTGGACCTTTCAGTAAAACTGAGGAAAGTCCTTGGATAGTCTGTAATGTAAACTTTCGGGAATCTTTGGAAAAATTGAGAGAGGCCTTTGAGGAATCCTAGATAAAGTTATCGAATCGAGCCTTTCAAAATCCAGGTTTTTGTTTATTTGAGGAATTTTAAAGGGGATATATTGGAGGACGGCCTTTCAAAAATATAAGGAGGTCTTTAAAAATAGGTCTTTATATAGCTCTTAAACATCTGTTTTGTGGACCTTTCAGTAAAATTGAGAAAAGTCCTTGGATAGTCTGTAATGGAAACTTTCGGGAATCTTTGGGAAAATTGGGAGAGGCCTTTGGATAACCCTTAGGGTTTTGATGAATCCTAGATAAAGGTATCGAATATGTGAACCTTTCAGTAAAATTGAGAAAAGTCCTTGGATAGTCTTTAATGGAAACTTTCGGGAATCTTTGGGAAAATTGAGAGAGGCCTTTGGATAACCCTTGGGGTTTTGAGGAATCCTAGATAAAGTTATCGAATCGAGCCTTTCAAAATCCAGGTTTTTGTATATTTGAGGAATTTTAAAGGGGATATATTGGAGGACGGTCTTTCAAAAATATAAGGAGGTCTTTATATAGCTCTTAAACATCTGTTTTGTGGACCTTTTAGTAAAATTGAGGAAAGTCCTTGGATAGTCTTTAATGTAGACTTCCGGGAATCTTTGGGAAAATTGAGAGAGGCCTTTGGATAACCCTTAGGGTTTTGAGGAATCCTAGATAAAGTGATCGAATAGCCTTTCAAAATTCAGGTTTTTGTATATTTGAGGAATTTTAAAGGGGATATATTGGAGGACGGCCTTCCAAAAATAAAAGAGGGTCTTTAAAAATAGGTCTTTATATAGCTCTTAAACATCTGTTTTGTGGACCTTTCAGTAAAATTAAGGAAAGTCCTTGGATAGTCTTTAATGTAAACTTTCCGGAATCTTTGGGAAAATTGAGAGAGGCCTTTGGATAACCCTTAGAGTTTTGAGGAATCCTAGATAAAGGTATCGAATATGTGAAGCTTTCAGTATAATTGAGGAAAGTCCTTGGATAGTCTTTAATATAGACTTTCGGGAATCTTTGGGAAAATTGAGAGAGGCCTTTGGATAACTCTTAGGGTTTTGAGGAATCCTAGATAAAGTTATCGAATCGAGCCTTTCAAAATCCAGGTTTTTGTATGTTTGAGGAATTTTAAAGGGGATATATTGAGGACGGCCTTTCAAAAATAAAAGCGGGTCTTTAAAAATAGGTCTTTATTTATAGCCCTTAAACATCTGTTTTGTGGACCTTTCAGTAAAATTGAGAAAAGTCCTTGGATAGTCTTTAATGTAGACTTCCGGGAATCTTTGGGGAAATTGAGGAAGGCCTTTGGATAACCCTTAGGGTTTTGAGGAATAATAGATAAAGTTATCGAATCGAGCCTTTCAAAATTCAGGTTTTTGTATATTTGAGGAATTTTAAAGGGGATATATTGAGGACGGCCTTTCAAAAATATAAGCGGGTCTTTAAAAATAGGTCTTTATATAGCTCTTAAACATCTGTTTTGTGGACCTTTCAGTAAAATTGAGAAAAGTCCTTGGATAGTCTTTAATGGAAACTTTCGGGAATCTTTTGAAAAATTGAGAGAGGCCTTTGGATAATAACCCTTAGGGTTTTGATGAATCCTAGATAAAGGTATCGAATATGTGAACCTTTCAGTAAAATTGAGGAAAGTCTTTGGATAGTCTTTAATGTAAACTTTCCGGAATCTTTGGGAAAATTAAAAGAGGCCTTTGGATAACCCTTAGGGTTTTGAGGAATCCTACATAAAGTTATCGAATCGAGCCTTTCAAAATCCAGGTTTTTGTTTATTTGAGGAATTTTAAAGGGGATATATTGGAGGACAGCCTTTCAAAAATATAAGCGGGTCTTTAAAAATAGGTCTTTATATAGCTCTTAAACATCTGTTTTGTGGACCTTTCAGTAAAATTGAGGAAAGTCCTTGGATAGTCTTTAATGTAAAATTTCCGGAATCTTTGGAAAAATTGAGTGAGGCCTTTGGATAACCCTTAGGGTTTTGGGGAATCCTAGATAAGGCTAACGAATAGCCTTTCAAAATTCAGGTTTTTGTATATTTGAGGAATTTTAAAGGGGATATATTGAGGACGGCCTTTCAAAAATATAAGGAGGTCTTAAAGAATAGGTCTTTATATATAGCTCTTAAACATCTGTTTTGTGGACCTTTCAGTAAAATTGAGGAAAGTCCTTGGATAGTCTTTAATGTAAACTTTCCGGAATCTTTGGGAAAATTTGGAGAGGCCTTTGGATAACCCTTAGGGTTTTGGATAGGATAGATATGGACCTTTAAGTAATCTTAGGAGGGGCTTTGGCGAGAAATATTGAGAAAGACATTTTTGAGATAAAAAAAAACTGCAATAAATTCAAACGCCATAATTTTTACATTTTTTTTTTGAATTTTATTGAATACAAGCAAAAAATGTCGGAAATAGCATCAAATATTAGAATCAGTTTAGATTTATTCGAATTGGTCACCTTTGGCAGAAATTATGACCTTCAAACGGCCAATGATAACGTCACCACACGCTGCCCGATTGTTGCTCTTCGGTATTTTGGCCCATTTCCGGCGAAGCGCTTGCTTGAGGTGATCAACACTTTGGTATTTTTTAGTGCCAACCTTGCTTTCCAAAATACTCCAGACACCAGAGTCCAACGGATTGGTATCCGGAGATTTTGGTGGCCATTGTCCACTGGAAATGAAGCGAGGAACCTCATCTTGTAATCATTCTCGGATGGTGCGTGCTGAGTGCGATGGTGCTAAGTCCTGTTGGAATGTCCAAGGTCTGCGGCCGAAATGTTGGCGTGCCCAAGTCTTTAAAACACCCTCCAGAATATTTTCGCGATAATATTCGGCATTTATTCTGATGCCACGGTCAATTAATACGTGCGGAGAGCGACCGCCGGATTATATGACGGTCCACATCATCACCATGACCGGCGCTTGAGTTCTGGCGTGCAACTGAAGGTGCACATTTTCAGCTGACCTCTTTGGCAAGTAAACACGATCATTTTGTTTGTTTACAAACTACTGGACAACGAATGTTTTCTCATCGGAGATAACCAAATTCGGCACTTCACCACTTTCGGCCAAGCGAAGCAACTCTTTAGCTCTTTTTGGAGTCTATTTTCTTTTCTGTGGCGGTTTAAGTTCTTGCACTTTTTGGAATTTCAATGGCTTTACCCTTTGTAGGTCTTTGTGGAGTGCTAGGAATGCTATTCCAAGGCCATGTTCTAAAATATTAAGGAGCTCCTTTAGGGTAACTTTTTTTATATAACATTATGTGGACCTTTCATAAAGAATTGGAAATTGAATTGACAATATCAAGGACGTCGGTAGCCTTAATCCATAGCCTTAATACTTAAGACTTCAGTCCCATGTTTTGTAGACCATGGAGAAATATGTATATAGAACTTCTGATGGCCTCTTCAAAACCCAATTCATTCATATTAGGGAACCACACCAGGGAAACAGGCTTGGGATAATTGTCGGGATAAGAAGACCCTGTTGAGCCTCATAAAGAATTAGAAAGGCCTCCTTAATAGTCATTAAAAACCCCTGTCTTGTAGGCTTTTACTGAAGAACGTCCTTGGTATCCTTAATCCATAACGTAAATCCATATTTTTAAGACTTGATTTCCACGTTTTGTAGCCCGTGGATATGTAAAAAACCTTCTTCTGGCCTCTGAAACCCCAGTTCACACATATTAGGAAAACCTGTCTGACCTGTTTTTTAATACCCATTTATTTACTTGTTCTTTTTCAGACAAACTAATTGGGGTCCATTGTACACATGGTGTAAACCGAACCGGATTCCTAATCTGTAATTATATGGTATCGGAGATGTCCATTGCTCCCAACGATGCCATAGAAAGTGAGTAAAAACAAATATAAAATTCCGTGCCTTTGACATATCATCTAACAATGTTTGGCTTGTTTGATTTTTCTAGAATTTGCAAAAGCCCGTGGTCACAAAATTGAAAGACACAACTATTTGGATGCCTTACAAAGGATAACGGGTGATCCAGATGATACTAATGATACTTCTAATACTGAGACAACTGCCTTACCAATGCCTACCTCCCCTGCAAATGCTAACAATAGACAAAGTCATCATAGTCCTGAACGCAGCAGTTGGAAAAACACTACTGAAAGAGACAGAGTTGTTGAAAACTTGGATCGGAGAAATGCAAATTATCATAGAAATGTAAATGATAGACCGCCACCTCCAAAAATGCCTCGTCGCTTCAATGATGCCAAGCGCGGAAGACGTTACCGTGATAAGAACGAGGGACAATCTCATCGCCGTCCAAAGAGTGGTTTTCAAAATTTTGAATTTCGCGGACTCAGTGCAATAACATATGGCATTAATGACAATGGGAGTTCCTCCCATGGCCGAACCGCTCACCCAATGTATGGTTATCCAAATGGGCCAAACAATAGCAACAGCAGCAGCAGCAGTCATATCAGTCGTTTTGAAATTGATCGATCTCGCAATAATGATCGTTACCATAGTAATAGCTATTCCCGTGAAAGACCTGACAGTAAGAATCGTTCATATGCCAGAGATAGGGGCGAGAGACAGCGTTCCATCTCAGCTGGACGTAGGCAAGGTTCACACCCCACAAACAGTTCATATCAAAATCGTCGGTAGTGTTAAAGGAAGTTAGGAAAACACCCCCCATTTTGTGGAGTACAAAAACAAAATGTGAAAAAACATATATATTTTTTTATTAAATAAAACAATTGAAATTTTTTTAGTTAATCTAATTTGCAAGGAAGGCGACTTTCTTTCAGTGCAGGATATCAAAATACAAGGAGTTCTTAATGCTCACTTATTCAAGCGGAATAGGAAAAGAATTCAACGTAGAGTTAAGCAGCTTTGTGTATCCTTTTTTATTTGCAACATCGTGAAGGCGTATGTGATTTGTCCTTGTCATCGAATGGAAGTACACGACCAATTTGTCTACACCCTACACTAGGGAAGGAAAAAAGGTTTTTGTTTTTCATGAGAGAAGTTTTTTTTTTAATATCAAATAGAGATTTTTGTGCTTGCCAATGTTAAGATCCAAAGTCTATTCAATAGAAGTGCAATTAGCAAGATAATGAAAGACCTATTGATCTTCTAATTGAAGACCTAATAAACCTTTAATAAAGCTTCGAATAAAAGACGACCTTTTGGTTTTCGCTGCTAATACATTTTTCTCTTCTGTGGGAGTTAAAAAGGCTTGATTCTCCATGGACAGAATGTCTCTTTGTCTGCTTGGATACCGTATAGAAGAATTTGTTGAATTTCTCAGGGGGAAAGCAGTTAATCCTCCGTGTTATAACCCATTTCGGTTTCTATTGAAAATACCCCAAGTCGCTTTTCAGAGGGTATCTTAGGCCGCTTTTCAGAGGCTTCACCGACTTTGTTTTTTTTTTTTTTTTTTGAATAGTTTAGCAGCATTATCCAAACGATCTTAGTGGTATTTGTAGTTTAAAGTGGAACACGTGTGAATACATACTACATACTATGATACTTTTATACAGGGTGAGATAAAAAAAGTCAAACGACATAATTTTAACATTTTTTTTTTAAATTTTATTGAATGAAAGCACAAAAATATCGGAAAAAGCATCAAATTTTAAAACAACTTTCGATTTGTTCGAATTGGTCACCTTTGGCACGAATTATAGCCTTCAAACGGCCAATGAAACCGTCACCACACGCTGCCCGAATTTTGCTCTGCGGTATTTTGGCCTATTCCCGCCGAAGCGCTTGCTTGAGGTGATCGACACTTTGGTAATTTTTTTTTAGTGCCAACCTTGCTTTTCAAAATACTCCAGACACAATAGTCCAACGGATTGGTTTCGGAGATTTTGGTTGTGCGCTGGAAATGAAGCGAAGAACCCCATTTTGTAACCATTCTTGGGTGGCTCGTGCTGAGTGCGATGGTGCTGAGCCCTATTGGATTTTCCAAGGTCTGCGGCCAAACAGGTTTGCATGCCCAAGGCTTTAATACACCCTCCAGAATATTTTCGCGATAATATTCGGCATTTATTCTGATGCAAAAGTTGTTTAATACGAGCGGAGGGCGACCATCGGCTGTTATGGCTGTCCACACCATCACCATGGCCGGCGCTAGAGTTCTGGTGGCCAACCGAAGATGCACATTCTCAGCTGACCTCTTTGGCAGCTGCTGTCCAACGAATGTATTCTCATCGGAGAAACCAAAATTTGGCAGTTCATCACTTTCGGCCAAGCGAAGCAACTCTTTAGCTCTTTTGAGTCTCGTTTTCTTTCTGTTGACGTGTAAGTTTTTGAACTTTTTGGAATTTCTATGGCTTTACCCCGAGCTAATTTTTCAATATTTGCCGAAAGGAATATTGCGATATGTTCAGCTCACGGCCATTTTTTCGGTCACTGCGATGCGGTTTTCGATCAAGACGCTTCTTTATTTATGCCACATTTTTTCACGGATTTTTCTGAAAATTGATATTTTTAGGTCATTACGAGTCCCTGTGCGTGTGGCAAAACATTGCATGTATAGGTCCACGTTTTGGTATAGTCCCCATATAACGGTACCTTCCAATATTCGGTATTTTGATGATTTTTGACACATTTCTTCACGGATATGTCTAAAAATTGGTATTTGTTGGTCATAATGGGTTCCAGCTCCGGTGGCGAAACATTACATGTATAGGTCCACGTTTTGGTATAGTCCCCATATAACGGTACCTCCCAATATTCGGTATTTTGATGATTTTTGCCACATTTTTTCACGGATTTGTCTAAAAATTGGTATTTGTTGGTCATAATGGGTTCCAGCTCCGGTGGCGAAACATTGCATGTATAGGTCCACGTTTTGGAATAGTCCCCATATAACGGTGCCTCCCAATATTCGGTAATTTGATGATTTTTGCCACATTTTTTAACGGATTTGTCTAAAAATTGGTAGTTGTAGGTCATTATGGGTTCTAGCTTCTTTGGCGAAACATTACATGTATAGGTCCACGATTTGGTATAGCCCCCATATAACGGTACCTCTCGATATTCGGCATTTTTTAAGGTTTTTGCCACATTTCTTCAAATGTTTCCTTTACCCTAAGGTGGAGGGTATTAAAAGTTTGGCCCGGCCGAGCTTAATGTTTTTTTTTTTACTTGTTTACTTATTGATTTATAATGGGATAGGAGAGATTTGTAGGTACAGATAGCCAACTATGTTAACCATGGAGCCCAAAACAAGTGTCTTAATGCCAAGAAGAAAAAAAAAAACTCGGGAGGAAAAAAGGATATAAAAATCAACTTAGAAAAGGACAAATTTGCATAGCATAGCTTTACTCTGATTCTTGTTTTTTTTACAATGCTTCTCCCCTTTTCCCCGAATTCTTGCATAGGCAACATGCTAATGTGACATTTGACCACCACGACGAAAGATAAAGAAGCATCCCAACAATAAGTAACACAAAAAAATGCCCAAAGCCTTAATATCCCCATTATCTGTCATTCTTTTCATGGGGTTTTTGGCCAACAAGTACCACACAAACTGAATGCATTTACCCGACAACTGCAAGCTGTGTGTATGTGTGCGTGTTGATCTCTTATGAATATGTACTGTGTTTTTAATTAATCGCACATTATTAGTGCAAGACATGTGCGCCGCCGCTGCCGATCCAGTTTTGGCTTCCAGGAATCACTTTGCCCCAACTTATCTTTACACGATCGGCATTGTCGGCAAAATAATAATAATAATGATCGCAAGGTAATTCTGTGCGATATGGATCTCTGGCCATTCTGGGCAATTTTACATTTTGTAATTGAAAATATTAACAAGTTTAAAATCACTTTGGTACCACCACATTGTTTGCTTAATTTGGATGTGGTGGAGGTGGAGGTGCAACCGAAAACCAAACACACACACGCACACACATATGTACACAAAACGAAAGTATTTAAATGAACTGATTTTGGAACTGATCGTCGAAAGATTTTCGGCTAAAATGCTTATCAGGCGTTAAGATTGTCATTTGTTGAAAATTTTCGACAAAAGAATTTAGAAAATATTCGTTGTCCTGCAGTTTGTAAACAAACAAAATGAACGTGTTTACTTGCCAACGTAGGTCAGCAGAAAATTTGCACCTATGACCGTGGCATCAGAATAAATACCGAATATTATCTAGAAAATATTCTGGAGGGTGTATTAAAGCCTTGGGCATGCAAACCTGTTTGGCCGCAGACCTTGGACATTCCAACAGTACTCAGCACCTTCGCACTCAGCACGCGCCAACCAAGAAGGGTTACAAAATGAGGTTCCTCGCTTCATTTCTAGCGTCCAATGGCCACCAAAATCTCCGGATAACAATCCGTTGGACTATTGTGTCTGGAGTATTTTGAAATCAAGGTTGGCACTAAAAAATACCAACGTGTCGATAACCTTAAGAGCAACATTCGGGCAGCGTGTGACGTGTGTTTCATTGGCTGTTTGAAGGCCATAATTCTTGTCAAAGGTGACCAATTCGAATCAATCCAAACTTATTCCAAAATTTGATGCTATTTCCGACATTTTTTTGGTTTCATTCAATAAAATTTAAATTTTAAATTTTTAAATTTTATTAATTTTATTATTATTTAATTAAATATTATCACTATTGTTATTATTATTATTGTTATTATTATTATTATTATTATTATTATTATTATTATTATTATTATTATTATTATTATTATTATTATTATTATTATTATTATTATTATTATTATTATTATTATTATTGTTATTATTATTATTATTATTATTATTATTATTATTATTATTATTATTATTATTATTATATTATTATTATTATTATTATTATTATTATTATTATTATTATTATTATTATTATTATTATTATCATTATTATTATTGTTATTAATTATTATTATTATTATTATTATTATTTTATTATTATTATTATTGTTGTTGTTATTATGATTGTCATTATTATTATTATTAATTATTATTATTAATTATTATTATTATTATTTTATTATTATTATTATTATTATTATTATTATTATTATTATTATTATTATTATTATTATTATTATTATTTTTATTATTATTATTAGTATTATTAATTATTATTATTATTATTATTATTATTACTTATTATTATTAATTATTATTATTAGTATTATTATTATTAATTATTATTATTATTATTATTATTATTATTATTATTATTATTATTATTAATTATTATTATTATTAATTATTTAATTATTTTAATTTTAAATTAAATTTTTAAATTTAAATTTTAAAATTAAAAAAATATATAAATTATTGCGTTTGACTTTGTTGTGGTTTTTTTATCTCACCCTGTATATTCTTGATCAGCATAAAGTTCTATGTCGATTTAGTGATGTCCGTCCGTCTGTGGAAATCACTCTAGCTTCCAAACGAAATTAAGTAGGTTGATAAAATTTTACTCAAATGTTTATTATGTCTGCAGGACTTTTGGTATTGAAAATGGGACATGCAGGTCCACGTTTTGCTATAGCCCCCATATAATGGTACCTACCGATATTTGTTATTTTGGTGATTTAAGCGACATTTTTCATCGGAATTGTTGGTATTTGGTATTTGGTATTTGGTATTTGAAGTTCATACTGGATGCTACAACCTATGACAGAAAATTGCCAATGAAAGTCCACGCCTTCGTATAGCCCCCCTATATCATAT